CCACAGTGCTCCCCCGCCCCCGCCCTCCGTGGTTCTCACGCACATCTCCGGTGGGGAACCGCCGGGAGGGACCAGCGTTAGGATCCCGCTGGGGCCCTGCGTGCCCTGCCCCTGCTCTCAGCCCTGATGCCCTCCCTCCACAGGCCTCAGAGCAGCCAGGCCGGGACCCCGTTTTCACCCTGTGCTCTAATCTGTGTTCGTGGCATCTTCAGAAACCAAAATTCCTCCCAAGATGTAGTCAGTTTTTCCCCTCTGGAGATGGCCTCAGCTGAGTCAGCTGAATTTCCCTGACGGCGTCCTGCTGGCATTTCACAGAGCCCAGAGAGGCTGCGATGAGGTCGTCCCCCCGCTGCTCACAGGAAGAGCCGCCCCCCCGAGCTCACTTCCTCCACACCAGCCCCGTGCTGGGCTTCACTGAGCGTGCGTGGTCCTGGCTCATCTCTGTCGTGTTCCCCGCTTTACCCAAGAGGAAACCGGGCTCAGAGAAGTGATGCTCCATGAAACCACGTTTGTCACGCGCACACCCCCCCAACTCCTCCTGCGCGTGTGTCGGAAGTCTCCTGTGCATTCTCTTAGCCCTCATCTCACTCTGGGGACGGGCTGTGTCCAGCACCTAGCAGGCACTCAGAGACATTTATGAGAAAGTGAACAACTGGGGGGGGGGGGGGGGGGGGAGCTGATCCCACTTGGCCTGCCCGCTCCCCTGTGCCCTCCTGCTGGGACCTGGCCATGCCGAGCAGACAAGAAGCTGGGCCGGAGAAGAGCCTGCCTCTTGGCCGGCCGGGGCTCAGTGTAGCAAGTGCACGGGGTTAAGCAGAGACCTGGAGGCAGGCAGGACACCAGGGAGCTTTGCTGTTCTCCTGGTTGCCATGGACCGGTGCCCTGGAAACAGCTGGCCCCTCGGCTCATCGCCTGGTAACCGAGCCGTAGCAGTGCCTGCGCTGCTGCAGTGCTGCCCCGGGCACAGCAGGCCCTTCCCCATCCCTGCCTGGCTCCTGGGGAGAACCATAGCCCTGGGGGCAGTGATTGGCATCAGCAGGAAGGAGACCCTAGGGGTGGGGGGGAAAGGGAGCTGGTGGGAGGGGTGTTATAAGCTGCCAGAACCCACACTGTTATCTGCTGTTGGTAGAACTTAGCAGTAAGATTTAGGTGCGGGCCTTTTGCATATTTTTGCATATATGGCACAGAACTACTAGGGAAGGATTTCAGTTTATTAAAAATGAAAAAGAAGAGAGAGAGAGGAAGGAGTTGGAGGCCCCACAGCTTCCGTGCCTCTGCCCTTACTCTTTGCTCCGCTTCCAAGATTCAGGAGCGGCCCGGCCTGACCCAGATCTCAGGCTCCGCGCCCACTGCTCTGGGAAGAAGCATCAATTCAGCCTGAGTTCACTCTCCGGCCAGCACCTAGCGTGTCCCTTGGAAGCACTGTTGCAGGATCCTCCTGGCCGGGAGTGGAGAGGGCCCAGCTTGGGGATTTCCTTCGCTCCTCACGGCTGGGAGGCTGAGCCAGGGGACATCCGGAGCACAAGCCACACTTTGGACCAAAGTTTCTTAGAGATAGTGAGTAGCGTGAAGTGGGCGGCCTCTCCGAGCATCCCTGAGGCAGAGCATCTTCCATCTCCTGTGGGTCAGCAGGTACTTATCCAGCACCTGCCGATGCCTCCACCAGGGACGTCATGGTCAGGAGACCGCGTGGGAGGCGAGGATGGGCCTCCAGGCCTAAGGGCCTGGCTGTGCACAGCTCTGGGTCTCCAGCCGTTCCTGCATGGTGCAGGAGCAGGCAGCACCGAGGGGGCAGAGAAGGGACCTCCTACCAGGAGTGGTTTTCCAGGGCTGGTCTGTGGATGAGGTGCTGGGACAGGGAGTGCCTGGGCGGACCATTAAGAGAAGGAAAAGAAACAGCCACCATCCCAGAGAGACTGTCCCTGGCGTGCTGGGCACAGCAGGTGGCAGCCTGCCCTGGCCCCATCCGGATGACCTCTCTCTCACCGAAAGGTGCCCTTTGCTGGCGTCAGGTCACCTCCTACAAGGAAGGGCTTTCTCGGGAATGCCCTGGCTCCTCATGTTGGCTCCCCAAGCCCTGGCGGGTATGAACCCCGCACCACCTCCTCTGCGGCCTTCCCCTCAGAGTTGCTTTGTCAGATGTTTTGCACACCCAGTTGCCACTGACCCTTTCACTCCACTCCAGGATGAGGGACCAGCTGATGTGCCTTCCCCAGCCCCCAGCCCCCCCCCCCCCGCCTGTTGCCATGGTAATGGCAGGCACTCCTGTTCCTGCAGAATATTGCTTTCTTGTAACCTCCCTCTCCCTTCCTTCCCCCCCCCCCCCACTTCTTTCTCTCACACAAAAAGAAAGCACAAGTGTTTTATATTCATTTTGCAAAAAGCTGTGTAGCGCATACTAATTGGCGTGGCTTCCTCCCGCTTGAGCCTTTCCCGTTCTCGGAGCCAGGATTACAGGCCAGGCCGGCATGGGCCCAGCCACTGCTTGGGAGGGAGGGCCAGCCTGGTTTCAGAGGCCAAGCAGCAGTCTGTAGCCCAGGGCCTCTCGCCCAGGTCTTAAGCAGGTGCCTCGTAAGCATGGCTGCTGAGGTCACCCTGTCCTTGACCCAGAGCTTCCTGTGGGGTCCGCAGGGGGTGGAGCACCAAATCTGGACACACAGACTCAAAGCCACGTCCGGCTGGAGGGTTGTCCCTCTGTTGCCCGGTCCCAGGGCCCCTATTGGCATCACCTCCCAAGGCCTTCCCTCCCTAGGGGCCTCCTGGCTGCTGAGGCAGAGCCTTGGCCTTGGCTCAGAGGTGTGGATCTGAAGCATCAAGTTCAGCCTGGGCTGAGTGGGGTTTGCTGGTCAGCTGGGGGAGGGCCAGTGATCCTGGCTGTCAGAGAGCCACCGTTCAGCCCCAGAGTGGCACCCCAGCTCCCCTCCTCAAGGCATTCCTTGCCCTCCATTTTGACAGCTCCTTCCCCTCCTTGCCTGTAGGAGGCTGGGGGTCTGAAAGAGCAGTGTGTGTGTGTGTGTGTGTGTGTGTGTGTGTGTGTTTGTGTGAGACACACCACCACACGTGGTGTGACCCCAAGCTGGGCTGTCTGAGGACCAGAGATAAATTTTTTAATATGTAAGCAAAAGGGAGTGGCTGGGATTGCTGCAGGAACCTGTAGGTAATATTTCCGGCTTTAATTGTACAATTGAAGTGTAATTTGCATTCATTTGCCATTTGGTGTTAAACTTCCTAAAATAAGAAAATTCGCAGTGTGAAATATGCAGCGTTGCTGGCTGCACTCCCCAGTGGAACCGGAGGAGGTGGTGCAGAGACACGCAATGCAGATCCCTTGGGGGGGAGTGAGGTCTGCAGTCCTCATGTGTGCACCGTCCCTACGCCAGGACTCACTCACTTGCTGCATTTGACGGCCTGGGGTTTGCTGCCTGGAGGCTGAGTGCCCCTGTGCCCCTGCTCTGCTGCCCTGGGAGGCGGGGCCTGTGGCTCTGAGGAGTGGGTGGCAGGAGGGGTGCAGTGGGGCTGGCAGGTGCCAGGAGATGTAAAGACACAGAGGTTGCCCCTTGTCCCCCTTGGCCCTCCTGTGAGTCTGAACTTGGTGTGAGATCATGGGGGTCATTGAGGGTTCCCCCTCAGGCCATGGGCTCAGCAAGAGCAGATTACTCAACAAGTACCACTGGATTGGGAATCGGGGTGTCTCTTCGGGATTTTGACTTGGGGTGTTTTTTGAGGTAGAATCCACATACCATAAAATCACCCTTTTAAAGTGTGCAACCCAGCATTGTCTACTGCATGAGTATACGTTGCCAACGAGGTTGTGCAACCATCACTGCTAATTCTAGAACATGTTCATCATCCCAGAAAGGATCTCATTAGCAGTCACTCCCCGTGTCTCCCTCCTCCTGCCTCTGGCAACCTCTAATCTCCTTTCTGTCTCTGTGGATTCCCCCCTTTCTGGACATTTCGCATAAATGGAATCATCGTGCAGGATGTGACTTGCACATCTGGCTTCTCTCACTCAGCAAAGTTTTTTGAGGTTCGTCTGTGTTGGGGGTGTATCAGAACTTCATTCCTTAATATCGCCAGATAGCATTCCCTGGCGTGGATATCGGGGTATCAGGCAGTGGACGTTGGGGTTGTTTCCGCTTCCTGGCTGTGATGTGCGCTGCTCCGTGAGCGCTCCTTTGGAAGCCTGTGTGTGGACGTGTTCTCAGCCCTGTTGGGAGTAACCAGGTTTCACTCTTGGAGGCACAGTTGGCCCGCTTCTTGCCTCGCTGTGTGATTTGGACAAGTCACTCCCCCACCTGGACTCCCTGGTCTCCTTCCGCCTCCCTGACGTTTACACGGCGACGTGCTTGGATAGTCGAGCATCCGAGTGCACATCCTGCGAGGTGGGGCCCTCACTGCTCTGCTGTCTGTTCCCACATCTCACCCTCTGTGTCCTTCCTGCCCCTGCTGGAGCAGAAAGCCCTCTGGGGGCCTCCCTCGATGGCAGCACAGGCCTGGGCCTTGCTGCTTCTGGACCAAATCCTACCTGGGCTCTGGGCCTGGGCACCAGGCAGGCAGCGCTTGCTCCTGCCTTCCATCTGGACTGCTTAGCGGCCACACTTCTCATGGATGTGTTCTCTGCAGGCCCAACGGTCAGACTTCCAAATGTGCAGAAGGGCAGGGGTACAGGCTGCCTGCGGGCACTGGGTGGGGCAGGTCTGACTCACCTACAGCCCCAGCACCTAGCACAGCACACGGGAGGGAAGATTAACACCAAAAGCCGGCTTCCAGGCCTCAGATCGAGCTTCCTTCCTGCAGTCGCTCCCGTCCACTGCCTGTGTTCTCTTCAGTTCGATCCTTTGTAGAACGTTTTGGGCCCCGTCATAGCCATAGTCTTGGCCACTCTCTCGGGCCTGTCGCGCTCTGCAGACCCCTCCCTGCCTCCTGGAGGAGGCTCTGTCTCCAGCCACTGCTGCCTGTGGAGGTCCTTGTCCCTCATCCTCTGCTTTTCTCCCCAGGTTATCCTGAAGGATCTGGAGGTGCTGGCAGAAATCGCTTCCTCCCCTGCAGGCCAGACAGAGGACCCAGGCCCCCTCGATGGCCCTGACCTCCGGACCAGCCACTCCGAGCCTCAGGTGCCCACCCCTGGCAGGGCCGGCCTGCTGAGCACTCCCAGTAAGTATTCCCCTGGTGCATCCAGCCTCGGGGACCCTGGGAACACCGGCGCTCGGTCTCATCCTGGGCTGGGCCGTCCTCGGGGCTGTCCCTCTCGAGCCTGGGAGTTGTGCCAGCGTGTGAGGGTCAGGGACGGCCATTGTCCAGGAGGCAGGTGGGCCTTGGTCATGCTGCCGCCTCCTGGCTCACACTGCAGCCCCCGTAAGAGACGCTTAGTCCCTGCTCCTCACCTCCCTGCACCTTTCGTCCTGTGAGCCACCGGCTTAATGAGAAACCATCTGAGTCAGCCAATGGCTTCTCCCTGGGGAGGCATCTCCCTGGTCAGGAATCAAGGAGCTCTGGAGTCGGAGCTCACAGGTGGGAGACTAGGCAGCCATTTCCTTCCTCACCGGGAGGCTAAAAATAGCTCTCAACGTGGCAGGCAGCCCAGGCAAGAGACAGTGTAATTCAAACAGCGTGTTTCCGGGAGTGCTTGGCCATGAAGGTGGCGTGGCGTTCCTGGTGCTCCCCCTTGGAGCTCCTTCCAGACATCAGGTGGCCCTTCTCCCAGGCCAGAGCTCCTCCCAGCACCCCCCTCCCAGGCAGACACCAGTTCCCTCCAGGGGTGCGAGTCCATGGGAAAGCGCCCAGCGGGTCGTGAAGTGTTTGCCTGGGGTCTTTGCCCCCTGAGCGGCTCTTGACACCAGACACCAGGTCCTAGTCAGCCCTGCTCTGGTGCAGAAGCCAAGTGTCAGATACATTTGGGGCCCATCGGCAGCAGCACCCCTCCTGCAGCCCCACCACCTGGAGCACCTGCAGGCCTGCCTGCGCCGGGCTGTGAGGTCGTCACGGAGACCGCGCATGAAAGGGTCTCCCGGTGACACTTAGCATCAAGCCCCACCCTGTCCTTGCAGCAGGGTGTCCCATAGGACCCCAGGCTCTCGGCTGCCACCGCTGCGCACGCTCTGCCTGCAGCTAGCTGGTCCCAAGTCCCAGCTGTTCCTGTAAAGTAAGGAAGGAGTGAGGGGCTAGCGGTAGGCCAGCTTCCTTCTCGTTTCCCCAGGATGCAGGGGTTTCCTTGCCAATGAGCTGGTTTCCTCTGGGCAGTCAGAGGCCATAGTGATGGAGGCACCCACATCCTGACTTAGGACCCCTGCTGTGTTTCCCACCCTCTGTCCCACAGCCCAGGACTCCGCTCTTCATCCTTTGTCTTCATGTCAGCACTTGCTCAGCCTGAAGTCCCAGGACCGCTGGCAGGACAGGTTGAGTGGGGGTAGAGCCTCATGAGAGGGGAGGACCACAGACTCCTCCTTGGAGAGGGCGGGCCTGGAGGGTGGGGACAGGCCGGCAGTGGCACCTGACTACCAGGAGGAAGCGCCGCGGGGCCCCGGCCAGCCTCATCCCCCTGTGGGAGCAGCGCTCTCCCTGGTGGGAGAAGCGGAAAGCTGAGGCAGCGCGGCCCCGGGCAGGGAGGACACCTTGACCTCCCACAACTGTGCTCCCTCCTCAGGGTGGCTTTTATCTCCCTCCCTGGCACAGAGAAGTGCCGCCGGAGTCCTGCAGGCCAGTGTGCACCCAGGGTCTGCTGGCCCAGCTCATTGTGACTGAAGTGCTTACTTGCTGGTGGAGGGATGGGCCAGAAAAACAGCTGTGAGGGGCCCAGGTCACTCTGCAGCCCTGGGGCCTGACTCAGGGAACCCCAGGAGAGGCCCTGTGGGAGCAAGGGCTGGGGGGTACTTGGACGGCAAAGCACTCACCCCAGCTCCTGTCCCCACCAACATGGGTGGGCCACTGATGCGTCTCAGGCAGTAGCCTCAGCAAGGCTGTAGGACCGCTCACATCAGCCAGGGGCTCACCCGGATGCATAGACAAACCACGTGAGCCGGACGGGAGGGCGTTCCATCCGGGGAAGAACACCAAGGAAGTGCTGCAGCCAACAGTGCTTCCTGCTGCGTGGAGTCCCAGCACCGAGGGCCACACGCTCTCAGCCTGAGACTCGTGCACTTCAAGGAGTGGGGACCGGCCACCTGTGCACGTGCGTCCGCAGCTGGCACGAGATTTTTCAAATGGGTCCATGATTTTATTTTATTTTTTTTTTAATATATTTTATTGATTTTACACAGAGAGGAATTGAGAGGGATAGAGAGTTAGAAACGTCGATGAGAGAGAAACATCGACCAGCTGCCTCTTGCACCACCACCACCACCACCCCCCACCCACACTGGGGATGTACCTGCAACCAAGGTACGTGCCCTTGACCGGAATCGAACCTGGGACCTTTCAGTCCACAGGCCAACGCTCTAGCCACTGAGCCAAACCGGTTTTGGCGGGTCCGTGATTTTAAAAGGTCAAGTTCACAGCGGTAATAGAAGAGCAGGGGAAGCCAGAGCTGGGCGCAGCCGCCTGAGGGAGGGCACGCGGCAGGCCCTCGTTGTTGAGGGCAGCTGTTAGGTCTGAAAGCGCTCCGCAGGCTGCTCTTTGTCGAGTTGCTTTTAAGGCACGCAGCAAGGGGGCGGGGGGGTGGGGGGGGGGCATTCTGTTTCCACCTGGCTGTGCACATGGGCAGTGGCCACAAGGCCAGACCCTCCTGTTTGGGTTCTGCTTTCCTCTGTCTCTCCAGGGCACAGCTCTGAGAACTCGCAGGCTGCATTGCCACGTCGCTTTAGGGTAGATCCTCCCACCCCATAAAGGAACTTTCTGGAAAGTCAAGGAGGCAGGGGACCTAGCAAAGATGAAATCAGTGATGTTTCTAGGGAATCGAATGGCCTGCCTGTGTGTTGGGTCCAGAAACTCAGCGGGGCCCATCGCACGCCTGGATGGGGCTGTGTTGGCCTGAGTGTGCAGCAGCGGTCCCCGGGGCCGCAAGGCAGAGCTGCCCACACGGGATTTTCCTCTCGCCGTCCCAGTGTAAACATCTCCCTCCCGTGCAGAGCTGTGTGGGCTGAGGCCGTGGTGTCGCTTCTCGCACACCCCCTTCATTCCTGACCTTTGCAGAGGCCCCGGCAGGGAGGAGGCCGCCTCTGGTGCAGTCGGGAGGGAGCCAGTGGAGGGACACATCTCCCTGTCTCCCTGTGACTGATTTGGTGAAATGGAACAAACAACCCTGGTCTCCTGTGACTTGGCAACTCCTGGGCCTTCTCTGCTTATCTCTACTCGAGGGGGGGACGATGCTGAGCCCCCCTCAGACCGACCCAGGGCCTGACCCTGAGCCTGCACAGAAGGCGCGGCAGGAGCAGGCGGCTCTGGGGCCGTTGTCCTGTTAAGAGACAGGCCTGGCCGGCCCGGGGCTTGGACATCCCAGCTGCGGAGGGGAGCCGCCTGCCAAGCACAGCAGCAGTGTGGCAATCGGGGCCGGAGGTCACCTCAGGACTGATGTTTACCCCTAAAGCCCAGTTTCCCCCGTCCTCCCCTCTGGCCACGGGCCCATCCTCGGTGGGAATAAAACTGCTTACATCAGGGCTCTCCGGTCCAAGGTGGAGTATGACCCCAGCTCTAAGAACATGGACAAAAATGGAATGTTCTGCTTCTGTTTGGTTCCTTATAAGCCCAGGCTGGGGTGGCCAAAAGCAGAAAGAAGTTCTAGAGAAAACCTAGAAAGCAATCCCTGGGCGCTTTTCCCAGTTAACAACTGTGACTGTGAAGTGTGGGGCGCCCGTGAGGACCAGGCTGCTCTGCGCGCTCCCCGCGTGCTCAGCACGTCGCCGTGAGCTGGCTCAGCCTCCACTGCGCCCGGCGGGTGCCGCCCCAGGGCCTCGCCGGAGCCCGCGCTCTCCCCCCCACGCTCGGGAGCCCCCGTGAGCCCCAGCCTTGCCCGGCGCTGGACTCTTCCACCGCCCGAGGGAGGAGCAGAGCAATGGCAGCCAGGCCGGCAGTCTCCTATGGGTACGGGGTCGTGACCCCAATCTGACAGTTCTTGGCGGTGGCCCTCTTAGCAGTGATTTCATAGACACCACTCCGGCCTCAGGTGACCTCTTGCGCCTCTTCCTCCATCTCCTGCAGCCACACCAGACGGGGTCCCAGCCCCCAAGAGCCTTCTTCCCACACGCTGTGTTCAGGCGCCGGGGCTGGGAAGATCTGGGTTCACAGTCCATCTGTGCCCCCCTGCCCTGAGACCTGGGGCAGGTGTCCTGCCTCGGTGCCCCCCCCCCCTCCCTCCTCCGTTAATTGGACGAGGGGTGCTTTGGGGCTCTCTCTGAGCTCTTGCGTGGAAGGCGCCAAGACCATGTGAGTGCTGCCTCTGCTTCGGTCCTTGTTATGGCGCTCAGGTGCTCTCCTCTGTGGGGCTTTCAGGAGAACCGGGGCCAGGTTCTGCCTCCCACCCATCACTGAGTGCATGGTGCTGGGGGGGTCACATCTGTTTCCCTCCCGGCCATGACCTCTGAGACCTGGTTTCTCAAGGTGCAGGCTCTGCAGCCTCAGCGTCGCCTGGAAGGTCATCAGAAATGGAGGCACTAGGGCCCACCCTAGACTCAGAATCACATTTTGTCAAGATCACAGGGGCCTTGTGTGCTCCCCACAGTTGGAGAAGCGCCAGCTCATCCCGCTGGTCTGTGGTGCTCACCTCTGAACCCCGTCAGTGCCGCCTTTCAGAGCCATTACAATGGCACCAGAGCTGGGCCTGAGGCTCACCTAGCACCACTGCCCAGGCCTTTACTGGCCACCAGATGGAGAGCCCGGGCCTCTCCTACCCAGGCCCATTGCTGCCGACAGTCTGAGGGCCCTTCCCCCTTCCCGTCTCCAGCACTGCCCGTGGCCCCAGCTGCTCGCTCCACGGCCCTGCAGCTCTCCCTGGAGCAGCCCTCTCCACTGCCATATCTGCTTCTGGTTCCTCTCGGACCCGCTGGGGCCCATTAGCTTATCTCTCGCTCTGAACCAGGCAGCTGGAAACCTCCTGGATTTGGGCGGCTGCCCAGGGCAGAAGGCTCCCTGACCTCAGCCGGGCTCGCCCCCAGATTGCGCAGGCTCCACAGCCCCCGAGACCCCGTTTCACAAGAGCCCTGGGCCTCCCTCTCTCCCGGGAA